TTTTTTGTTGTTATATACCTGGATGACTGAGAAAACAAACTTTGTGTCATCTGGATGGTTTCTTTTGGTGTTGAGACGTTTCGTCCTTCATCCAAAAGACTTCTTTAGTCTGAGGAGCCACCAAACCAAACTGAATCCCACAAACAGCTCACTCCCAGAGTGGGAAAAAACAGTTTTCTGGTTATAAGATGGTCTCCAGGGTCTGCCCGCTCCCCTGTCAACTCCTCTGAGACTGCCAAGCCAAAGTTATTAAAAACACCTAAGTTTATGCTCATTAATCCAGGTATAAATCCAACAATGTCCATTCAGGTCATCTGGATGGTTTATTTTGTTGCCGAGACGTTTCATCCTTCATCCAAAGGACTTCTTCTGTCTGAGGAGCCACCAAACCAAACTGAATCCCACAAACAGCTCACTCCCAGAGTGGAAGAAAACAGTTTGCTGGTGGTAAGATGAAGGACAAAATGTCTCGGCAACAAAATAAACCATCCAGATGACCTGACAACACTGTTGGATTTATACCAGGATTTTTGAGCATGAACTTTGGTGTTTTGAACAACTTTGGCTTGGTTGCCTTTGAGGAGTTGACAGGGGAGAGGGTGGGCCCCGGAGTCCATCTTATCACCAGCAAACTGTTTTTCCCCCCTCTGGGAGTGAACTGTTTGTGGGATTCAGTTTGGTTTGGTGGTCTACTCAGACTGAAGAAGTCCTTCGGATGAACAACGAAACGTCTCCGCAACACAAACCGTCCAGATGACCTGACTGAACATTGTTGGATTTACACCTGGATTAATGAGCATGAACTTTGTTGAATAAGACACATTTGATATGTCCAATAGCAGAGTAGTTTTCATTCCTCACCTGTACGGAGCATCTCTGTGTATGACAGGGTCATCCAAAGGCACAAAGTCCTGACTGGAACTGATTTGGTTTTCATAAACCAGAAAGTTTCCCTCGACCTACTGGGATGAAATCAGATCAGATGCTTGAAAACGTGATTTCCTGCGTGAATTCAGGATTAAAAAAAAAAAAAAAATGTTTCTCACGGCGACAGTGGTCCCACAGGAGGTGAGGCTGAAGACAAAAAGAGCTCTGGCGCTGTCTGTCTCCATGGGAACGCAGTCAGGATCCCGCAGGGTGGTTCTATTGGGCTGGATGGGCGGGATGGTGTGGGTGGTGTCAACTATAGCAACCATCCTCCCCTCAGGCAGACAAACTGTGAGCGACACGTCAAATTAAAGCGCACGTGAACGAACGAGCAGCAAACTCCGAGCAGCTGAACTCTGTACCCAGAAGTTCTCGAGCAGGAAAGGTGCATTTATGGACCAGGTGGTCGGGTTCCTTCAGGGACTCTGCTTCCACAAGTGATACGTTTACTCCAGCGACAAGACCCTGCAGCGACAGCTTCTGCACAGTGGAGCAAACAGACGGTCATTTTCACGAGCAATAAATAACTACGAACAGATAATCAAAGTTCATGCTCAATAATCCAGATAGAAAATCCAACAATGTTCAGTCAGGTCATCTGGACAGTTTCTTTTGTTGAAACGTTTTGTCTTTCATCCAAAGGACTTCATCAGTCCAAGGAGACACAACAAACTCAGTCCCACAAGCAGCACACTCACATAGTGGACCAACCAGTTTGCTGGTGATAGGATGGTTTTTGGGGCCAGCACTTTCCACCGTCAACTCCTCTGAGGCAGCCAAAGTGGTTCAAAACATCAAAGTTCATGTTCAATAATCCAGGTAAAAAAAAATTCAAAGTTCCGTCAGGTCATCTGGACATTTTTTTATATATTTTCTCCATTACTTATCACCATCAAACTGGTTGGCCCACTATGCGAGTGTGCTGCTTGTGGGACCGAGTTTGTTGTGGCTCCTCGGACTGATGAAGTCCTTTAGATGAAGGACGAAATGTATAAAAAAAAATAAAAAGTCCAGATGACCTGACTTAACTTTGTTGGATTTTTTTTTACCTGGATTATTGAGCATTAACTTTGATGTTTTGAACCACTTTGGCCATGGCTGCCTCAGAGGAGTTGAC